TCAGCAGGACAGTGATCTGAAGCATAAAACCAAACAGTGGGGTGGCTCTGGGACAAGTCTGACTGTCCACAAGTGGTCCAAACAAAGCCCAGACTTAAGCACCATCTGTGGAGAGACCTGAAGATGCACTTCTCAATCTAAGATGCTGAGGATCCACTGGAAAAAATCAAATATTGTTTGGAAAAGTGCTATATAAATAAACATATTATTATTATTATTGTGGAGCTTGTAGAGATTTACCCAAGAAGACTGAAAGCTGGATTTGCTGCCAAAGGACCTTCTACAAAGTACTGATGTAAGTGTCTAACAACTGTGTAAAAGAGATTTCAGTTTTTAATACATTTGTAAACATTTCTAAAGAACATTTTTCACTTTGTGCATTTAAAAATCAAATCTACAACCTAATAAGGTTTGCAAATCATGAAGGGGTTTTAATATTTTCTAAAACCACTGTATTTCCTTTTCCTTATGTGAGATTCATGAGGCTTTGTAACAGAGAGCAGTTTTCAGATTCCTGCAAGCACTTTCTCCTTCAGGCTATCTCTCCTCAATGGAGCTCAGAGGAATGCAGATGACTTTCTGTCAGACTTTTCTCTCTGCATCATGAAAATATTCTCCTGGTATAGTCATGGAGCCATGGGACACTCAGGTGTTTTATAACACATCATGTTTTTATTGCAGATATTCCTATCTCCTAATTAAGCAGCTTACTAGCATGTTAATATAGAAAGTAGATGTACAGCTACTGTACACAACAAACCACTACATGGGTCAAGAGTGATTCTGAAAAAAAGCAGCCCATATAGGTAAGAATACACCTCAAGCATTCAAACTATAAATTCAGCTTCCTCACCTGATGTAAACGGAACCCTAATAAAATTAAAAATGAGTCAACATGCTATAAAATAACAAAACTTGAAATGATCAATATGACAGCAGAAGTATGAGAATGGGCATAAAAACCTGATCAAACTTTTGTTGTTTTTTTTTGTTTTTTGTTTGATGCAAGATCGGTGCACACATCCTGTCAAACCTTAACACTGGTCCCAGTGATTAATGTCCTCATTTTGTCACTACTGCCCAACATTAAAATGATGAACGGCCCCCTCTAAAGGCTTTAAAAGTTCCTGCAGTTTACTGGCATCCTAAGACAAGCCCCAAAAATGTAGTTATATTTCTGATGAGGTTGTTTAAGATAAAACTGTTTTTATAAATCAAATCAATGAAGACTACATCTCACACTGGCTGGGGTCCTCTCAAGATTGTCAGCTTCAACAGATAAGATTTCATGTGGACACCATTAAAAAAGCAGAAAAAGAATTTGTCATTGAATGACAGGTTTTCTTTGTTTTGTTTTGTTTTTCTCTTTCTTTACCTAAAGGTAATATTTTCCAATATCTCACAATGTCTTTGTATCCAGAGGCTACTCCAATAACGGCTCAAAATGAAATGCTAAATCAGCTTGAATGAAATGCGACTGTAACCAATGCTAGGTACTTTTATGGATCGGAGGAATGATCCCCCACAGTCATATTAAACAGTAATTGACTTGCAGTGGAGCAGTTCTGCTGTTTGTCGTGATATTCAAGGGCTTCCAACACACTTCAAGATCGGCTGCACAGTGCAGTAAGATGTGCAGAAGGTAACAGTGCAAATCAAGATAGTGCAGGCTGATAGGTAAATACCTACATGTAACTGTAATCTTAATGCTACCTTAGCTAGTTTGAACCTTTTTAATTTATGTAACAGTTCTCTCCAAAAAGAAAAAAAAACATAATGATCTAGTTTCACTGCTCAGTGTTATGTCTCCCTTCCACAATTGAAGTGTCTCTATTGCACTTTTGACTTATGCTCTCAGCTGACATGGCTTATAATATCACTGATTTCATACTGGAGAAGCTGTATTCTTACAGAGAGACTGGGAGCTGAATTTGGTTAGGCTATAATTATCCATCCACTAAGGCTGGTTACTTTCACTGGGTAGATCATATAGAGATGTGCCACAGATTAAAGCAAGACAACAAAAAGTGCCTTATTAAAGTGTTGGACCACCACGTGCCACCAGAACAGCTTCAGTGCATCTTGGCATTGGTTCTACAAGTCTTTGAACTCTACAGGAGGAATGAACATCATTCTTCCAAAACATATCCCCTCAGCTGGTGTTAAGATGATGATGGTGGAGACGCTGTCAACACGTCCCTCCAAAGTCTCCCATAGGTGTTCAGCTGGGTTGAGATATGGTGACTGTGAAGACCATATCATTTTTATACTCATCAAACCATTCAGTGAGCCCCTGTTCCCTAAGGATAGGGGCACTGTCATCCTATGAGAAACCACTTATTTATTCAGGTTTGTCCTTTAATTTGCCATATGTCAGTTTTGTTATCACACAAAGGTACAGTACTTGAATTTGAGATTTAAACACTATGGTGGTGTAGCTGCAAGCCAGCAGGTTTCGTTCCATGCCATAAAAACCAACTCTCAGGGGAAGAAATATGTGCCAGAGGGACCGCAGCATCAGGTCATGTTGCTGTACTGTGATAAATAAGAGTTGAGGCTTTCTTCATGTAAACCAGATGTCTCTGCTTTGTCTCAGCTCAGGCTGCTGAGATCCAGGGTGAACACACATCTAACAGAACTCCTATGGAAAATATGGGGTCATGAACACTACCAGTCAAAAGTTTGGATGCACTTCCCCATTGAATTGAATAGGTGTGTCCAAACCTTTGACTGGCAATGTATTACATAGCTCAAACACACTGCAACTCTTTTGTAAACAGGGGAAATGATGTGTTTAATGTCGGGAACATGCTACAGTAAGTTCCCACTTTTTGATCATTTGAGACTCATGAGGAAGCTTAGACACATGGTATGCATTTTAACAAGATGGCAGAATGGTCTGACTTACAAGACAAATACCAAAAACTAAGCTATATGTAGCAGGCAGCCCTCCCAGAACTCATCAATCATATTAAATATCCTTTCGTACACAGAGCTGTCTCCAGTATTAATCTGCATCATTGAGATTTATTGCAGTTACATTTCTAAGGGCTTTAGCTGTAGGATTTGGGTACTTGATGACTATAAGAAAGAATGGGTATACAGTATATTACAGGCCTATTATAATGCAACATAGTTTTCCAATATTAAAAAAGCAGTGTTACCATGAAGACCAATTGAAACACAGCAATATTGTCTCAGATTATAAAGCTATAACATATTATACTACATATTATAAATAAAAAAAGATTCATCTCTAACAAAAAGACAATGCAAACAGTTAGAATTAAATGTGTTGAGATTTTGTATATTGTTATTGGTTTGGGAATTTGATACTGGGAATTGTTCATGTTTGGGAATTGTAACCATCATGGCTACTTCCATACTTTAACCGCAGTACTCCACCTGAAGGTTGGGTGTGAGAAAACAAGAATTTCTGAGTCAGAAACACTGAGAAAGGTGACAATTGTTTTCCAGTCACACCTCTTTCACCAGTCTTCAGCAAGGTAGCACAAGCAAGAGCTTTTGCTGAAATCATTTCATCAAAATGAATCAGTGCAGTGACACAACAGCAAAACTATAGTACATTTAAGGTCCAAAGTGTTTGTCTCATTAGTCATAGATTTGGTGATGTTGCAAGAGTTTCAGAACAAGTATTTCATTTTATTCCTTTCCTCCTGAGAAAAAAAAATAACTGCCTCTGCCAGTACAGTTGGAAAATTTCAAAATGTTTATTTAAGATGAGCGCAAATTACCAACAATCTTGCACTACAACCATCCTTTAGGGAATCCCAGTCACTTCCGGAATTTGGGTACATACACTGCGTAATAGTTCACTTCGCTCTTGAGCTTTGATTATTAAAGTGCCTTGTATATGCAGTGAGATAATAAAATAGCAGTTCATAACTCTCCAGTTTATGAAAAATCTTTTTGCCAGTTTGTCATCATCATCAAAATCAACTTTTATCACTTTGACCTGATCTAATGCCTATAACCAGGTCAACAAGTTCAGTCTTGTCCAGTTATCCTTAGTAAAACTGGTTGTTTGAATGCGGTCTGACATTTCAGGCAGTCAGATCTGAAAACTTTTACAATCATCTGTCTTATGAAGCCGCCAGGACACTGACCTTATATGACGTCTCCTCAGCTTCAGTACCATAATATCGCATCAAAGTCGGGTCCAAACTCCTGGTCTGCCTCAGTCTCCGTTTGGAAATAATGCTGGGGCTTAGCGAACATGAGAAAACACTGCTTAACAATCCTTGAGCGGACATATCTCCTTTATCTAGTCAAATAAATGCTCATATCTCTCTCACAAACGAAGGAGAAGCACCCTTACGCAGCAGCAGATGGTCCCCTGCGCGTCACCATCCTGAGCATTATGAAATACGCGCTTGTCCCTGGCCACCTCCCCCACCTCCTACATAACCTGACTCAGTGATCCCTCTTTTCATTGTTTTATTTACGATTAAAAACTATGACTAATACATGTTAAATTCCCTCAAACACTAAAACAAAGAACAAGGCACATGCTGAGGAGTTAGGGCAAAAGTCTTATTTATACGTGGGTGTGCTGCAATGTGAAAGCACATTTAGTTTACTCCTGCTGTTGAATTATTCAGGGTGAGTTATGTTCGTACCAACAGCGTAAACAAAAAGGCAATTGTGCTTTCAAATATGAGTCATGCAGTTTACACACACACACACACACACACACACATACATGCAAAGAAATGGGTTATTACAAACGCATAAATGTTTATAGGCCTATAGCTGCATTCTTTTATTTAGTGTCTATTGAAATCTGGCCAATCGATAAACACGTCATTATAAACTAGGTTTTCTGTTTAAATTTAATATATATATTCCCACATTAGCCTATAAATATCCCAGTCACTGTAATTAAATTATTTAAAACACATACTGTACCTTTTAAATTACACAAAACAAAAGAGTCAATATTGGAAGAAAGAAGCCTATTGATTCCAGTACACCATATTATTCCTTTCCAAGATTGGCAAGGATAAGCAATATCAGAATTTTTTGTGTAGTGCTACAGAAACAGTGGGCAGATCATGCTCAAAATCCCCAGTCCTCTCTTGACTACATTTTTTTCTTCGCCGTAAGGCAGCTGAGATTCTTGGCAGTACCCAGGGAACAGACACTTCCTGTGGGGGTCCTGGGGGAAGGGATCTGTGTGATAACATAACATGTGAACCAGCACTGTATGGCCATGATAAGGATTCATCAGATAGTAGAGTCCACCAAACAGACAGGGGAAGCCATGATAAGAGGGCGGCTTTGCGTTTGATTTACTTGTTTGGTGCCGGCGAGTTTTGGAGTACGATTCCTAGCAGATTCTCATCAGATTTCCAGTTATGTCATTTCTCAGTGGGATAAGTGCAGCCTTGGGAGCTTACATCCACTAACCATGTAAAGGATGTGAGAATAAACGTTTGGCCCACATAGGTCTTGTTAAGTGGGTAAACCTTGGAAAGTAGAGTTTGGTTTGGTTCCAGATATTTACATTCATGGAAGATGTCATTGTTTTGGCAAGTTTTCCATGTAATAACAATGAGTTTTTGTAAAATGTAATTCATAGTTAATATTCCAGAACGTAAATGATAATTGCTCTCTTGACCTGAGGAACAGCTCTCTATGAGCCACTTTACTGTACTGTGCACTATAATAAGCAGTACAATGAGCAGGCTTTTTGTGATTTATTAGGTCAATTCTCTTGAGGCAATTAAATTTAAGGGGGATATTAGGTGAATGCAAAACAGACTCAGTGGTAGCATTCTGAGTCTCCCATAGAGACATGTCTACACTAAATAGAAACATGTGACATCTCTGATGCTGATCTGGTGTGAAGATGGATGTGTAGCAGCATTAGGCTACATGAGCTGAGAGACAGTATTAGTTGACTGCCGGCCACTAGATGGCAGTAACACACCAACAATACACAACAATACCCCCCACCCCACCTACCTTCAACCTGATTCAACACATTTTAAAGCCCTGGTCTGCATTTTTTTGGACAAAATAACATAACCTAGAAGCACCTGTATAATATATATCATTTAACAATGTTTAAAATTGCCCCCTAAAAATCTGAGTTAAATCAACTCTTGTCTGACAAAAAAATGGATCAGTATATTATTATTCCTATTATTCCTCTTTGATGTGCAACTTATCTGTGGCACGTAACTTGCTGAGTGAACATAGGGCACTGGGTTAGAAAATCTTGTTTTACGATACTGAAATGACCCTTTAAGTACTCTCAATCTAACATATAGATTCTCTACAACCAGGGCTTATCCAACCCACAACAGTGGTCTTCAGATTGTTTCTTAGTCAGAATGGTGGTCTCTGGGTCACATTTAGTTAGCAACCCCTACTATACAACATGACACAGGCGAGTTCTGTATGATGGATGAGCTCACAATATCCTGTAACTACTAAATGGAAGAATGTAAATGAATTAGTCTACCTTAGCTTAGCCATTTTCTAATGCAGTGCCCTCTTTTTGTCACTTGTGTGTGCTGGTGCACTCTTAAGCATAGATTTTGTGCAAGCAGTTCATGGCATCATAATGTTATGAACCTTTAATAACCCACATTAAAAACTGAATCTGTCCTCGTGGACCACCAAAGGAGATTGAAACAGCTATGGAAATGTTGCTGTTGCAATTCTGTTTATGACACCTCTTTCTCTGCCATTAGTGTGTAAATACTGAGAAACAATCTGGATAAGGTGAAGAGGATAAATGGCTGGGTTTAGTCTCAAACTGTAGTCTTAAAGGAGGATTTAAAAAAAAACTGTTAATATAATCAAGATAAACACTTTGATTTTGTTGTTGTGCTGTATGTCTTTTTCTCTTTATTAAGGTCTTAATAAAATGGTCAGGTTCACTTTAACGCAGCGGAGATGCCAAATTTTGATACAGTGAGTCATCACAAACACCCCATCATTTCCAGGAGACTGTACAGTTTGAGAACCAAAGTTGTTTGTGGAAGTATAAATGCAGAAGTGAAACACAATGCATTTGTCTTTTAGAGCTCGAGATATTAACACAAAACATAGTTTTCAATCCCGTTAGTGGAATGCACCTATATCGCATTGGTGACTATTGTTATTACTCCAATTACCATCTTTTGCTTCTGAGAGCACATATACTTTACAGTAAAGAGGAAAAATTGGAGTAATGGCTAGGGGAAAATGCAATCAAGATGTCAGACAAGCACTTGATTAACCACTTACAGAAGCAGTCTCTACGTCAGGGCCAGGCCATGCCATCTCACATTTCCACTCAGCCTGATCCTTCAAACATTACTGGCCTTGGCGTATTGATCTTTCATTCTTCTCAATATCCCCTTGCCATTAATAGAATTTACACCAGACTATCGGTGTTTCGAGGAGGCCTCCCCTCCCCTTACAGCACTGCCAGGATCTTCTCCCCATAGTAAGGGCACACTCGAAGCTTGTCCTTGATTAGGTCCAGTATGAGTATCTACCTGAGAGGGAAGACATGGAAATTGACAATACATGCAAGAATGAAAATTGTGTTTACAGCATTATGGACAGAAACCAAGAGCAGCAGCGGTGAGTTTGATGCCGTTTTATTTTTTTTCCCCACAAATTTCAAAATGATTGACAATGGAGACGTTCAGTGATGAGAGATTTATGATGCTTAGGCTCGAAAGCTTTTGCCCCAGCTGTCTATATTATGTCTTACTGGAACTGATGTAACAAATCTTATCTGTAAATGTTGCAAAGTAGGTTGTGGATATTAAATTCTAGGTTCAAGCTCAAAAAGTTTGTCATTCCAACACTCAAAAATACAACTGATTAAACCATTTAGTTTCCTTAAATCCGTGATTTAAAACTAATCTAAAGTGAAATACTGTTAAAAGCAAATATTTGTTCTTTAGATTCAAATTAATATATGCCTGAAATTGTAGTATGAATAATCTTTCATTCTACCCTTGATCACAAACAACAACTAATTATCTCCCATATCACCAGACTAATAATTATTGTAATCCATGACATTACAGATGATGCATCTTCTCACAGATACTGTCTGATAGGCTTGGAGTTCAGCCTGCAGCAAAACAGTGCTTCTTATTCAACGCCAGCTCGGTGACCTTAGCAGCTTTCCATGGGTACATTGATTTTACTCCCACATTACAGATAATTGCTGGATGCTGTGAATCCTATCCTCCCAGAGCGGCAGGGTGGAGCGTAACGTGTTGACACGAGACCAACTATCTGATTTGAGGAATGTGATATCTTGGGATCTCACTGACTGTGATTGACTTGTGTGTACTTCCTGTCTATGGCATAAGCATATTTAACAGCTTATTAGGAGAGACTTGTTTTTATGTCTGCTGGGATTCCGTTTTACTAACTGTTAACTGTGCCCAAGAAAATAAAATAATGAATGATTTAAGTGAAAAACTAGTTTAATGTTAATGTATGAATTAAACAGCAAGAACATCTTTCAGACTTTAAGGAGAGCCAGAACTCTGTTCAAATCTGATATTGGATTTCCCGCTTGTTTGGTTCATTGCGGTTAATGACCTATTTGGTATTCCTCTGTGTTGGCAAAAAAAAAGCTAATGATCCTGATTCAGACAGTCAAACAGTATAAATCACATTGTTGAAATGAACGCTGTTGACAGCTTTACAAAAACATCTGTAACCTTCAGTGCAGGACAAACTGTAGTTCTTATTGTATTAATAAGAGTTTTCTTGTTCTGCATGGAACAACTCTTATCATTTTATGCAAATGACTGCATCTATCGTTTGTTCTGCTCCACAAAGTAAAGAAAGTCACTTCTGCTGTTTTTATGTGAGGAGGAAATCTGATTTGATGGACTGAAAATCAATGTGCATTTTCACATTGTTTGCATGTGCAGTAGAAGTAACTGCATCTGTGTTTGTTTTAGCTACCATCTATAACTAATGTTACAGTATTGTGATGTGTGTACTTCACTACTTATTCTGAAAATGAGAATCATATATTGCATTTATATTAACTCTCAGAGCAATTTGTGAAGAAGCATTCAGCTTGACATTGTTCTAAGGAAACAAATGAGCAATCCTCCCACACACAGTGAACAGCAAATTAAATCAGATGAGTCTCAGAATAAACATTAACTATCATCACTATCTTAAGTCTTCACTGCTGTGACCCCGAGACAACATACTAAATGTTAGTATTAGTTGTATACACAGTGAAAGGTTGTTTGACTTTGCACATTTCCTGTCCCCCACTGCAGTCCGTGTGTCACGGAAAAACAGGCCACTGATGCATTGCGCTGTGGCCCAGGGGCAAGTGTTAGGCTTCATGA